CTAAAATGGTTGATATGAAAAGCCCAACTCTAAAAAAAAAAAAAAAGTAGTTGGATTAATCTCTCAGGCTATTGAAAATAGAAAATATTTACTGGATTTATTTCAGAATATTTTAGGAATGAAATATTTGAATGCTGTGCACAAAACCATAATGCAATTAATCTTATTGCTGGCATGTGTTAATTAAAATATCACATCACAATGATAATTGAATCGGCCTTAAAACATCAAGCATAGAAAGGTCTATATGCTTTCACTGTACTTCTTTTTATTTTTTACCTGAGGATATTTTTCTATTTATCTTCAGAGTGCGAGGGAGAAAGAGAGAAGCATCGTGAGAGGGACACATAAACTGACTGCCTCTGGCATGACCCCGACCAAGGCCAGGAAGAACTGCAACTGCGGTGTGTGCTCGTGACCAGAATCGAACCCACAACTCATTGGTTCTTGGGCCGATGCTCTACCGCTGAGTCAAACTGGCCAGAGCCACTGTACTTCTTTTTAAATTTGCTAATTAGAACAAAAAGAGTTAATGTAATATTATTGGGTTAAATCTCTCATTTAAGGATCTAAGGCCATGTAAAACTTAGATTTAAACAACAGAAATAGACCTATAGAATCCAGAGCTCTATAATACACATTCGCCATGTGCTAGCCACATGGGTATGTTAAATATGTTCTCCACATCCAGGTGTTTTGTAAGCAATGTTGACTTTATCTTATGTTCAATAATCTTTAGGTCCCAACAGCATTGTAATTTTTGCATTTCTTAAAATGCCTGAGGAAATGCCTACAAAAATCAAAGTCATTTCTGTGGCTGTTTCTTTGCAAGTTGATTCTGGATCATCTAAAGAATCTTCATGGAGCAAATCTGCTCATGGAAGTAGGGTGCACAGCAGTGTCGGCCATGTCACATGTATGTAGTATGCACATGCGCATATGATGTGCACATGTCAATGATGACTCAGCACCAATGATGTGTTTATACTATTTTTTTTTTTTTAATCCTCACCCGAGGATATTGTTCCATTTTTTGTACAGATAGAGTAGGAGGGAGAGAGAGGAAGGGAGAGAGAGAGAGAAACATCGATGTGAAGGGACACATCGAGTGGCTGCCACCCGCACGACCAACCAGGGCCAGGGACAAACTGCAACCGAAGTACGTGCCCTTAGCGGGAACCGAACCCGGGTCTCTCCGGACCGCAGGCCGACGCTCTAACCGCTGAGCCAAACTGGCCAGGGCTGTTTATACTATTTGTAGGACAGCTTTGCAGTCCAGTTTAATGTCAAGGTGATAAATAGCATTTATTTGACCAAGCAAACATAGGGCAAATATTTGACATCCATTTTGAAAATGTGAATTTCTGTAAAACATTTGAAAGAATTCTTCAGTGTATGAAAATGATGGTATTAACTTGTTATACAAGCCTACAGATTTTTCTTTTCAGTGCAAACATTTTTATTTTTACTAATACAAAAAAGGTTTGAAAAAAGTAAGTTTACTTTTTTTGCAAGATAGTTTATTTGGGGGTTCAAATTCCCTGTGAGACCATCATAACCTTTTCCCTTGCCTTTCTATAGGTAAGTAAGTAACTGAGTCCTTCATTTGGTTAGTCATGATTAAGAAGATGTGCTAGAATGTAAATGCCTTGTCCAGCTGTCTGAAACAAAATAAAAAGCTTAAAGTAATTTTTTTTAGTTGCTTATTTACATAAACCTCCCAGCTCCCAGCCCTGCCCTGTGCCTCTGGCCTCCATCCAGCTGCCTACTCTCTCTTTCCTTCCTTTCCACCTGCTTTCTACTAGATAGGCACTGCTTTCAAGTTATGACCTGGATTGCTAAACAGTGTCACCAACTATGTTGGCAGTGGAGGGGTATTAGAGTAACCCAGTCCCAGGCTTCAGTAGTCTGGGAAACAAACATAGGTCACATAATGTTGAAGAATAAGGGCTAAGCACTTTGAGAAATATAAAAGTGGCATGAGTCAAGACATGGTCCAGCCCTCACTCTGGTTTGAAAGTGCTAATGCACTTGAAATAGTACTACTAATACATGAGAATGTATCTCAAAGCAATTTACGTGTTCTGAGCTATACATGTTTAAAGGTTAAAAATAGAAGTGGTTCAGTTAAAAGCCAAGGAAAGTTGGTTGTTTTGAATGACTTGAGTGGCCCCTAGGGACTGACATGATTTGGCTAAGCACAAAGAATATAGGTGATCACATGAGGCAGAGTAAAAAACAAATATGCACCCGGCCAGTGTGGCTCAGTGGTTGAGCGTCGACCCATGAACCAAGAAGTCGCCAGTATGGTTCCCGGTCAGGGCACATGCCCAGGTTGTGGGCCTGATCCCCAGTGAGGGGCATGTAGGAGGCAGCCAACAGATGTTCTCTCTCATCAATGTATTATTTCTCCCTCTCACTTCCTCTGTCTCTAAAATCAATAAAGAAAAAATTTTTTTTTAAATATGCAAAGAGGAATAAATGAACACAACACATTTACATGCAGACAAGCTTGCCTGGAGTGGGCGGTACAAGGTTTTAAGGCTGGGCCGCTCTGTACTGAGAACGCTGAATAGCAAAAAGAAGAATCAAAGCACGTACCGTGGAAAATAAGAAAGCACAATGTGGGATTTTGTTTGTTTCCTCATGTATAACTGAGAAATTTGAAAAGCAGAAGAACAATCACACCCATTAGAGTCTCAGGAAATGTGGACTCCTTTGAACAAAGTAATCTCTGGTGGCTAATTATATTAGCATTGTACACTCACAGGCAGCTTCACCTGCGGCGCTTCAGCCACAGTCCACTTTGGTAACAAAGGGACAGAAAAATCAGCTGACTTCTCAAGATCAGGAAAACAGACGAAGAGGTTAGATCTACAACGTTCTGTTTTCCACAAATTGAGCTTCTGCTGCCAGAATGATCTGACCTGGGTACTGTTACCAGTCAAAGGTTATCGTCATGCAGCCCTTGTACATAACTGCTTTTACAACACTCTCACAATCACATTTTGTTTTTCAGGTTTTTCTATAAATGTATTATAGTTTAATAGACATAGAGTTGAGCATTGGCTGGTTTGGCTCAGCAGTTAGAGCGTTGGCCCACGGACCAATGAGTCGCAGGTTCGATTCCGGTCAAGGGCACGTATTTCGGTTGCAAGTCCCCAGTCCTGGTTGGGGTCGTGCAGGAGGCAGCCAGTTGATGTGTCCCTTTCACGTCGATGTTTCTCTCTCTCTCTCTCTTCCTCTCTTTCCCTCCCACTCTATGTGAACAAAAATGGGAAAATGTCCTCGAGTGAGGATTTATATATATATATATATATATATATATATATATATATATATATATATAGGGTTGATAAACTCTGTTTTCCAAAACCACAGAACTGAGGGCCAGATGCTGGTCCTTGGTGAATTTTTCAAGGCAAACGCTTCCTTGGAAAGACTCTTGTTCCACTTCCTCAGTATAGTGGAATAGACTGTCCAGAACAACTTGTTACCAAGACATTAGATCACAAGGTTTGGTTAAACAGGTTGTATGGTGATAATATGTTGGATGACCTTGGGAAGCAACCAAGTCTCAATAAAAGCCCAGATGGTACAGCTCTAATCCATCTAAAACCATTAACTTGATTATCAGCTACCTCGGTTCAAATTAATTGAAATCATGAGTTGACTGAGGGTTCATTGCCCATTAGTGTTTTTTTGTAACATAATGGTAATAAATCTTCAATGGAATGTACTCCGGTGGTAAGCAGTCTTCAGTATTATGGACACCCCATCAAATACCCAGAAACCTCACCTCACTCTCGTTTGCTTTGTTTCAATTACAGTTTACATTCAATATTATTCTGTATTAGTTTCAGATGTATAGCATAGTACTTTACAAAGTGGTCTCCCTGATATTTCAAGTACCCACTTGGCCTTATACATAGTTATTACAATATTATTGACTATATTCCCTACACTGTAATTTATATCTCTGTGACTACCAATTTGCACTTCTTAATCCCTTCACTTTTTTCACCCAGTCCCCCAATCTGTCAACCCTCAATCTACCTCACCAGATTCTTAAATTCTAAGAGTGATCTTCACACTTCACCCTTCATTTTATATGCATTCTCTACTTCCCCAATGCAAAAAAAGAAAGAACAAACCCACAAATGATCATCATTTATATAATTATTTAAATTCAAATCACATTTCTTTTTTTTTTTTAATGTTTTTTTAATAGATTTTTTTTTTTTTTTAGCGAGAGAGGAAGGGAGAGAGAGATGGAAATATCAACCTGAGAGAGAAACACCTTTGGTGCTGCCTCCTCCATGCCCCTACTGGGAATTGAACTGCAACCATTTTGGAATCCAACGGAGACCTCCCAGTCCATGGGAGGACGGAGGATGATCAATCCACCAACCCACACAGACTGGGCTCAAATTACATTTCTTTTCTGCTTCCTTTTGTGTCCCACTTTCTCAGACAAGAAGGCTCTATTCCCCATGGGACAGAAGCAAATTGATCATGTTCTCAGAATTAACATCTTACAGAAAGATTCTTAAGACTATTGCTTAGTTGCTGAAGACTTGGAGAGTTGTGTGAGATCCTGACATTGGCAGCGGACACTGGGGGCTAGGCACTGTGCATTCGCCTGTACTGCTGCTTGATCTTGGTTAAGTGATAGATCTGGAATGGCCGGAGTGACATTTTGAAGTGACAATACCAAAGGTTGGCTTCCAGAGGCTAAATGCTGAAGTTTGCCTGCCTCAGCTAGTTAAGGGTGCAGCTTATCTTCTTGGAAATGTTATCCTTCATTTTAGAACACAGCCATCTGTGTTTCTGTAGCTAAGGTTGGAATGTCTAGGTAAGATCCAGAGGGGAGTTCTGTTGGAAGAGTCAGAAGCAAGATCCGGTGTCTCACATTGTGTAAGAGTTGTGGCCCCACCTACATGCCTCTTTGGGAAGAAGGGGGGAGGCAGGGAGAAGCAGAGGGCTCAGGGACGTTGGGGTCAGCGCTGATACAGCTGCATGATGCCAGCCCTATGCAAATCTTCCCACAGAGCTGCCTCAAGCAGCAGATCATGGTTTTCATAAAATATCAGTGGCATCTTTTGGGGGTCAAAATAGTGGTTAGAAAATGTCTGGTAGTTTCTCGTGATAAATCCATAGGCACTAACCTGGTCACAGGTATGCAAAGCCGTCAGCAGGATGATGGCACCAGTACTAGGCATGTATATGTGTTGAGTGTCATTGTCAATCAAGCTCGAATTCAAAAACCTCTCTGTCAGGTAGTGGATGAAGATTGGATGTAGGAGCTTGAATTTACCTGCAGGCGCATCTGGCCCAAAGTAGACCTGAGGCCTGTCCCCTTTGTCTGGACCCTCGGGGACAGGCACACCCAGAATAGCCGATCGCAGCATCAGGTAGTCTCGGATGTTGGAAGCGATGAAGATGTAGCGCACGCCTCGCCCTTGTGGCACCGAGCGGAAGCCCAGGCTCCTGTAGACGGAGAGGGAATTTTTCATCGTGTTTACCGTGAAGCCGTAGAAGGAGGTCTTGGTGCCCACGTCCTTCTCGAAGCCTTTGGTCACGGCACCATTGACTCTGAAGACATAGTCGTGGGCGTCGATGCGGCGGCCCTGGCCGGAGCCCCGCAGGATGCCCCCGTTGGCCACCACGGCGCAGCGAATGCACCGCAGCTCCTGGGACGCGGAGAAGAGCCGCGCGCTCTCCGAGCCGTTCAGGAGGCGCAGGGTGGAGGCGATGGGCTCCCGGGGGAGTCCTCGCCAGCTGCAGGGGCCCGGGAGCTGGCTCAGGCTGTCCCAGAGCTGCGGGGAGAGGAGGCCGCCCCACAGCAGCACGGGCGTGGACAGATCGAAGAGCCGCTGGAAGCGCGGGCGCCCCTGCAGGGCCAGGAGCAGGGGGCGCGGGCAGGCCTCGGGCCTTGCGGGCCGCCAGCTCCACGGTGCGGAGTTCCAGCACCCGAGGAGCCCGGCGCCCGCGGCCGCCAGCAGGAGCAGCCGCCAGAGCCTCGGGGAGCGCCTGCGGTCCATCCTGCAGCGCCCGGCAGAGGCCGATCCCCAGCCTGTCCCCAGCCCGGCCAGCCCAGCCCAACCCAGCCCAGCCCAGCCCGCCGCACCGCCCCTCCGTCACAATCCCAGGCCGCAAGTCTGTGCAGCAGCGAGAAGTGTCCCCTTTGCACAGCGGAGAAATCAGCTCAGAGACGGTCATGCTCGCCCAGTGTGTGAGGAGTTGGTTAGTTCTTCCAACGCCCCACGTCTCTCTCCGGATCCATAATCATTTTCCTTCTTAAACGTAGGTGCTCAGGGTGCAGAATAGCCCATTCACTGGGAAAGTGATGCACGCGATATTCTATAATAAATAATAATAATAATATTTCCTTAAGTCTTAACTAAATGTTGAAATCTACCCAAGAACATTTGCAAATTTTGCCTTTTTTTCTATTGTGGATTGACTTTGCTATTCACCATTGTTTACAAAATGCAGATTTTAAAAAAGAAATGGAAATGTTTGAAAACCTTTGTATTTCTCATTAAGTTTATTCCATATAAAAAGGTAACTGATTTGTACCTTATTTAGAAAAAAAAAAAAATATATATATATATATATATATGGAAAGCGGTAACATGCAGCAGTCCCCCACTTTAATAAATTATCTAGATTAACAATTCAAATATATTTTTCATATCTTATCTGCCTTATGTAATACTCTAAATCATTCCTAGGAGTCTTTGAGAGACTTAAACATGAGGAATAATTTTAATTTACTTTTTCTGTTGTTGAGTATATCATCGTTCACCAAAACTGTTGAGAAAACAAAACAGTAGATGAATATCTCCATCTAGAGCCTGTTCAGGACAAATGTAACTGCTACAGAGAAATCACTCTGTATTCTGATGGCAGGCTGCAGTGCAACAACTCATCAATGTGTCAGGAGGAGACGTCAAGGATGTGACTAACCTGTTAGAAATGGACACTGTGTGACCAGGTTGATATCCCCCAGGATGCTGGCTTAGTTTCTATTCGTGCTTCTTAAGATTGCTGGGCACTAAGTAATTCAGAGTTTTATAGCTCAAATGAACCAAATGGAGCCCTGACGTCTCCCTGAGCCTGACACCATCCCTGCATAGGCAGGAAATGAATAATTTGGAGTCCATGTGATAAATTTCATCATAAATATCAGCAAATGGTATATTGGAGAGAAAAGTGGCACTTACACCAGACTTAGCAATTCAAGGAGAGTCCCCTGAATACACTGCTATAGGAATTAAAACATAAAAGGGTTTTTTTAATGATCATTTTATTTAATTTGTCTTTGTGTGCATTTTGTATTCAGTTATAAATATTCACACACACCCTCATTTCATCTCTTCCTGCATCTTCCTCTATCAATTATTCATTTCCTATCTCCTTTTTTAAATCTCTACTTTTTTTCCCCATTTCTATTAGCACTTTCCCCTTGGCTTATGACTCATTCTCAGTTTTTCTTTTACTTATTCAATTCTTTTCTGACATTGTTCACTACTCCCACCTTCCAGAACTCTCTCTTCCTGTGGTCTCCACAGCACTAAACTCTTAACAGGTGCTGTTATGTTTCATTCATAACTCTTAAGCACTTAACATTTCCATGCATAACAGCCCAGACTTACTACCATAAGCGCCAGGTACTCTTTTGCCTGAGGGTTCTCTGACCACTGAAACCCACTCAATGTACACGTGGCAGCTCAGTAGTGTCAGGGAATTAACAGCCCCTGAGAACCACCCCTAACCAATGACTGATGGCAACTGCTGTACAGATACTTCAGCGCCCCAGAGGAAGGACTGTTTAACAGCACAGGTCTGTCCCGGGTCTCAGAGTTCCACAGGGAAGTTAAGCTTCAGCTGCTCACAGCTGTAAATTGCTACATAAAGCAATCTCTACTGGGTTTCTTCTCTTCCCTGTCTCACCTCTTCACTCACCTACTGTTACTTCCTAGGATCACTCCAAATAAACCCCCTGCACTCCAACCTTGTCTTGGGGTTTGAACAAAGACAAAATTTGGGAATTCAAACAAAGACAAAATTTTAACTCCCTAATCACTACTCTAAATATTTCTTTTCGGTGGTTTTTCCTGTTACTTAGACTCCAAATATTAGGAATTCGCAAGGTTCCCTTCTTTCGTAGAACTCATCCACATTCCTGTTTTCCTCATCCATCTATAGGCTGACTCTCAGATCTGTTTCTCTATCTCTGGTATAACTTTCCAGGACCTGATTTCACTAGGATGTTTCTGTTTCATACAAACTGGGAACTCTGTGAAGGCTTGCCTATCTTTTAATTATTTATTTATTTTCAAATTTTACAGTAGCATCTGACATGCCGTGTATATCAAATAAATTATCTTTTAATTGATTAGAAGATGAAAGTACAGAAGAAATGTCAATTTGTTTCATACAAGCAAGTAGTAAAATCATTCTGTGCCTTCATAGCAACAAAAGAAAATCTGCTTGGTGAATTTATACACAAATATATTCAAATCTGTAAAAAAAAAAAAAAAAAAAAAATCTATCTTGTTGGAGTATTGATGGCCTAAATAGCTAGTCAGCTGACTTACTGAACTTTTCATGTTCTAACAAAAATCTATTGACAGAGTCAACTATTTCAGTATTAAATGCTGAAAATCAGTATTTAACAACTGTAGCTTTTATCCCCCTTTCAATGAATTAGCCATTCAAAAGCTATCTTGCTCAACGGAGTCCAATTCCTCTAGTTTTCAGGAGATCTGTTCACCATCAGGAAATATATTTCTTATGTTTAAAATAAATGGGCGCACCGGCAAGCCCTCTCCTTTCCATTTAGAAAATGGAAGGCTGCCAGGTGGGGTACCCATATCCACTGCTGACAATAGCTATCTGCTTAATGCCCATAAAGTATTTCATGTATAAGAACTAAGTTTACGTTCAAGAAATTAGGCACATTTTTTGAAGAATCATCCTCTTGAATAGCAGAATGTTCATGTTAATTGCAATTTAAATTGACTGCCTATTTCACAGGTGAAGAAGCTGAGATCCAGAGATATGAAGTGATTTTTTGTTTAGACCATAGCAGAAGCCGTAAGCTGAGAATAAGACATCATCCTCATGGTTTATATTCGGACATTCCCCACCCCGTTTGTATTTTGCTTCAAAAGTGCAATGTCAAAGAAATATTTAATGCCTTTGCAACTGCTTGAACTTACAGAGCAAAAAATTGTTAGAATTAAAAAAAAAAAAAAAAATCAGACCTGGAAGAGAATCTAATGATTATTAAGTAAAACTCTTTTACGTATTAAATATGTCTACACTATAATATCTAAAAGGTAGGTTTCAATGATTTAGTTTCCAGTCTAACATGCAAAAAGTTTGGAATCATCACTTCTGTTTTTACAAGGGAAAGAAAAGCTGAACAAACTGAAAATCCACAACTCGTCTTAAATCCATCAGAGAACTGAAGTGACAGGACAAACCACTGACCTGAAAAGTGCAGAGACAGGTGAATTCAGATAATCACAGCTTACCAGGAGCAGAAGCTGCCACTGGAACCTGTTAGGGACACTTAATAGTGATTCAACAAGTGCTGAAGATGAAGCACTGACTAGCTTGAGAGATAAAAACTCCTGGGGATCCAACCATAAGTGTATCAGCCAAAAGCTCCACTGGGTTCTCACTCTAAAGATCAGAGAAAAATCCACTCACGTTTCTGACAGAAGAAGTGAGAAAGTAACAATTATTAAATAAGCTCAGGATGCTTTGTTCTTTTTTGAAAAAATATGTTTTTATTGATTTTTTAGTGAGAGAGGGAGAAATATCCATGTGAGAGAGAGACACATCAATCCACTGCCTCCTGCATGCCCCCTACTGGAGATCAAGCCCAAAACCTAGGTATGTGTCCTGACTGGGAATCAAACCGGGGCCTCAGTCCATGGGATGATACTCAATCCACTGAGCCACACTTGTTGGGCATGCTTTGTTCTTTTTAATAACTGCCAATCCTCAAAGAAAACTACTTTACCAGAGCCTAACCAGCTAGGGTTTTCTAGAGCCTAACTGGCCCAAAGGGAAGGAATTACCCAACTCCAGCCCCCTGTAGTATTTCTGTCTCATCTAAGGGGACAGGGCTAAATTGAGAAGCACTAGTAAAAGTCATAGTCCAGGGACACAGATTCATGAAAGACTGAGGTCTAATCATAGAATTAGAGAATACATTCCTCAGTCTATTCCATGCTTCTATGTCTCTGGATCTATTTTGTTTGTCAGTTTTTTGTTGTTGTTGTTCATTAGATTCCACATATAAGTGAGATCATGTGATATTTGTCTGTCTCTGACTGGCTGATTTTGCTTAGAATAATACTCTCCAGATACCAATCTCAGAGAGAAGGGGAGGGGGTGGGAAGAAATTAACCAAAGAATTCATATGCATATATGTATAACCCATAGACACAAAGTGCATTGAAGGCCTGGGGGAGAAGGGAGTGGGGTAGAGGGAGAAAATAGAGGGTGGAAATAGAGGGACATTTGTAATATTTTCAACAATAAAAAAAAAAGAATTAGAGAATATATGTATTTCCCCTCCCCTACATCTTACCAGCACACCAATAGGTCTGTCTAACAGAAGATAATAATTGAAAGAATAGCACTAGCTTCTGTTTAAGAAGGAGCCTCTAGAGAAACCCAGGACAATAGGAAAGACAGAAGCAAGGACACTAAAGGAAAGTTTAGCCTCTGACACCACAGCTATCACCTACAGGAAACACAGCCTTGCTCCTGGCGAGATAAGTTTTCCCACACTAAAGGCCTTTTTGCCTCAGTTCCATTTAACTAGTACATCATGTCTGACTTTCAACAGAAACTTACAAGGCATGTTAAGACACAAGAATACAATCTGAAGAGACAAAGGAAGCATGAAAATTGGATTCAGATATGGCAGAGATTTGGGAATTATCAGGCCAGGAAATTAAAACAACTGTGATTAATATGTAAAATGGCTCTCATGGAAAAGGTGAACAACATGCAA